TTTTTTTTATCAAGGTTTGTTTTTGTCGTTCCAGCCAGGATCCCGTGCCACGTTCAGCATTTGGAACTTCACTGATGCTGATCCTGGTGGGGTTTTATTTTAATGACCCCGGTCACTCTTGCAAATGAGACGATCCTGGCCTCTTGAGTTCTCACCTGGTTAAACAAAGTAAACGTGAAAATTAAACTGGAACTCACGTGCAGGCACACGTTTAGCAGCACATAGGCAGGAGCTAAACTCGGCTCTCTGACTTCTATCTCGCCGTAACGGTGACCTTTCCGCTGGCAACAAGAGAATCCGAAATCCACATTCGTAAGCCTCCAAACATGCATCCTCATTGCCAGTGCCACAATTGTTTGTGGTTTAAAAGCTTTTACAAACAGCATCGCAAGGGTGTTTAAATGGATATGAAGCCACTTCCCAGAGCACATCAACGGGACCACTTACTCCGCCTAAAATTGCGAAATTAAATAGGATATACATTATTTAGCAGCTTCATTTGTCAAAGGCGCTGACACTCCTGACTTTTTCTCTTCGGCGTGAACCTACATTGAATTATCCAGAAGCTCATTGCTCGTGAGCACCGCCGAGTGCACGAGTGGTGCTGAGAATGTCACTGTAAGGGTGAGGCACTTCTAGCGAATATCCCACGTTCAGTACGTCAATGTCGACGCCTCTTCAACACCGCGCTGTGGATGAATCGTGGGTAATTCACCAAACATTGTAGCATATCCGCTGCCTCGATTACTAATTTACTTAAATTGTGAATGAATACTTTCTCACAGAGACCCACCTTTTTGACCCGTTTTCCTCCGTCCGTCGTTTTTGACATCTTCACCCCGCTCACTTCAAGAGGCTCATAGGCTCACACGTGCCACCCTGAACCCCAGTCTCTGTTGCTGGCCCGCTTTTGTGTTGAAAGGTGGAGCGCATCTCCCTCGCAGCTGCGATAAATATCGAGAATTTCCAATCGTGCCATGGACATTAACCTAAATCACCGTCATTACTGTATGGGTTTTTAAACGCACTTAATGGTTCCCAATCCATAGCCCAAGGGCCAGCTCGGTAGATTCCACATTTCCATGGCATGCCCAGTTTGTTCAAAGAATGACCACTGCAGAGTTGACACACAAAACACATTATTAATGCCAGGGGAACTATGAGCGAACATCTTTAGAGCGGTGCTATTATGGCAAATACAACAAATGACAAAATGTTCAGTGGCCACCTACGGGCGATCTGCCCATGGATTGTGATGATGATGACGATATGCAAAGAATGGTTGATTGAAGAGGGAGGCCAAACGTAGCGGTGTTGTGATATGTTGTTTCCTCACAGTGCCCTGTTAATTATGGATGCGGGCAGGAGAGGTTGGGAGGATGTCAGGGAGCTGCGGAGTGAAGATGCCTCGGTTGCTTTTCCTTCGAGTGCGCAATTTCAACCCCATTCATCATTCAGCGTGGCAGCGACATGATTAAAGTTTAATTTCGGAGGTAGAAAAATGTTATGCAGCGATGCGTTGACGAACGTGCAACGCGCATCCTTATCACCTCCTTGTGGATCAATCTGCACACGAGCTAGTGCTTGCTTTATATCGAGGATGTACCCGAATACAGTAATTCACTTGCTGTTGAATTCAGCAAAATTCCAGCTATTGAGATATTCTAATTTGGTGGAATAGCTGTACACAAATACTCATATTTTAACTCAAGCGCACCCATGTGAATATTTATTACGTTGTATATTGTGTAAAATCTCAATTTCCACATTCTCTCATTAGGGTTAGGCGGTACACAAAACCGTTTGTGAGATATTCCACGTTCATTTGGTCAGTGGCGCCTGGCGTGTTTAGCGTATAGCTTTAATTTGTTTTAAAGTTTAACAAAAACAAATGCTGTAGTTATAGCACACATAAAAAAATAAAACATCACCTAATTTTTCAATCGCACAACCTCATAGAAAAAATATATAGTATAGATTGACGTTTCGTGCAATTACCTTGTTCGGTGCAGAAAGAGATGTAGCACAGCAAAGAGATTAACTACGACCTCCTACAATTGTTCGCTCTGACCTGAAGAAGACTCATAGCCTGAAACGTCAGCCTTTTTAAATGTTGTTTTCATTTCCCTATGGTTTCAATATTTTATCCGTCAACAATTTCAGGGGGCTCTTTCCTGGTAATAAATAATGTTGATTTGTCATGTGCATCAATTTTTTGTATCTTTTTTTTTATAAATGACCTGCATGAAGCAATAAGCACGTCACACGTTCAGGCCATAACGCTCTGAGTGTGTAGCTCCACCTAGTGACGAAGGCTGTGCATTGCAGACAAACAACGTGCTTGTGGGTCCACAGACGATACCGTACAACCCCCTCGTCTACCACTGGGTGACGTCGCAATAACCAGACCCCATCGCTTTGGTGGCTAAAACTCGCATATACACAGATAATCACAGACGTCAACATTCTCTCTGCTGCAGACAAACAATAAAGGTCCCCCTAGTGGGCCTTGACTAGAAGGGATGGTGTCTGACGGTCGAGACGAAGGATGGGAGTTATTGCCGAAGGTGGGAACACGGCCCAGAGGACATCTACTGCAGAGATGGAGCGATGGAATCCGTTCGTTTGCAAGGAGTTTGATGGATTGTTGCATCGCAGGCCCGTGAGGGATGGTGGCAGTTAGGGGAGGCCTTCGTCCAACAGTGGATAGAAAGATCATAACTGTTTTGATTTAAAGCTTTCGTGACTACAGTAATTCATATTTTTAGTTTTTTCGGTAAAGTCACGTTGAAGCGATTGCCACAAACACAAACATTGTCCGTCAAAGAAATAATCTTCACTTGAGACGCTTGCAGGTTATCTTGAATAGGAATAACGATACAAACAGCATGCAACATTTTGGTGTGCGTCCAGGCTTAATTTCTCATTGAATATTATCCATGTCGCTGGTGCAGGCAGCAGTGACGAGTGGTCATAGCCATAGCGACAGGTATACTGGATGTGGTGTGCCAGGAGCGAAAATATTTTATTGCTCGTCACTGACCTGGAAAGGCCCAGCTGAAATTAAGCTCTGGTTTGTGTGCGCGATCATTGTACATTGTCTCTGTACGATATCACCTTAGTATTTCCTTTGCAACCAAGTGTTAATAGGAGGAGAAAGGAGAAGTCTCACTGACACTGAAATATCTGTTTCCAGGGCGCTGTGTCCAAGAGGGGCGAATGAAAATCTTCTTGGTGCCAGATAATCCCATTCAGTGCCGCTCATACGACCACACCTGCCCCTCTCCACGATACAATTTCAGCTGTTCGGATAACAATCGAGCAAATGTAACTTACTGAGTTCGCGTCTCCCATCTTGATGCATTTGCCTCCGTGCAGTTTGCCGTTTTCTGTGTGCTCTGTGTGTGATGTCCCTCTGTGTGTTCCCTCGCTGTTTTGCCCCATTGCCGCCTGATGATGAGCGCTTGTGTTGCGTTCGAAACGTCGTGAATTATTTTATATTTTTTTGCGATTTATTTAAATTTCATTTTATTTATACATACGTGACTTTACCGAAAGAACCAATGGGTATAGTAATTTCTGCGGTCACGAAAGCTTCAATTCCAGATTATATTGGAGGTGTAGTTAACACTAAAAAATCAATACACAGTACATGCTGTATACTACCGCATGCGCACGAGGCCACGCAATGGATAGTTGTGCTAACCCGTAGGGACAAGTCTGCGACGATTTGTTTGCGCTCCCATTGGTTCTACGCGAACGCGTGCCCGTCGAGGTGAAGGTCGTTGAAATTACTGTCCGCCGAATATCGAATCCCATTAGGAATCGCGGAAATTCCAAAGGCAGTCGTCGGTCACACGGTCAGTGACGCAGCGACGCAGTCACTGACTCTCGAAACGTGTCTTGAGTCGTCACCGGTCGATCCGTGCTGTCGCGTGTGGAGTGGGGTCGAGTGGGTTTGATCGTGGATGTCTTGCAGGTAGAGAAGATTACTGTATTTGCGACGCGTGTAAAATACAACCGCCCTTTACGCAGTTGCCCATAAAAGTGACGCTTTTCATTCGCGAGCACACGCCAGTGAAGTGGACGCGTTCGGGTTGCACGCTTCTACGCGAGATGAAATTTGCCCGTGGCCGTAGAAGCGTAATGGGGTGAGAACCGTATGGGCCGTGTGAGCTGGAGCAGAAGCAATTTGACCCACGCTAGCGAATGCCCTCGGCATTAGTGAGGCTCCCGTGGACCAGCAAAAACCCAGGAGGACAGAGTCAGGGGGCGGGGTGCCCATGTGATCAAGGGGGGGATGCGAAGGACAACAGACCAGCTTGCAGCAGATTATGCCTGCCTGATGGGATGGGCCCTTGATCTACTCTGAGCTTGACAATTTTTGTAATCGTGGGAAAAGGCCAATGTAATTTATGGATATTTACATTCACTGTAATTTCATTATGGGCACTAGAGCTTCAAATGGTCGTTAGGTGAACAAACAAAATTTGGTCATTATCATTTAACGTGCTGTAATTATTCACATAAAAGACAGTATTTTCTGTTAATGGGGAGTGTTTTAGTGAACCACTTAACAAGGATGCACCGTCTAAACGCAACCGTTAACTACAGAGAAGAGCTGTAAAGATTGATGATGCAAACTCGTTTAGAACAAACATCATAATCGTATTACCGCTCAACACTCAGAGATGAGTGCAGCAGTGGATTAAAAGTTGCTGAGTCTGACCAGGCCCTTGCGGTTGAACATGCATTGTGTCGGACAACCTACAATGGGTCGGGAGCAGCTAGCTAGCTCGCTGTCTTTCTTAATTTTCCCTGTTCAATAACTCTGGCTCCACCGCAGTCTCACAGCAGGGAGGACATTTATAGACGCACTTCCTTTTTTTTTACAATGTGACTAACCCCATCACTCCCCACCCACCCATCCCACCATCCCACCAACACCGATTCCATCCCCTCCCACACTGAACCCCCGATTGCCCCCCACCCACCCCTAACTCCCCACCCTTCCCCACCACCAAACAGCCAGCCGGTGCAGTCAGCGAATCGTGCGGGTGGCGTGCGTGCATCGGGAGAGCGCTGCGAATCCGAGCTGCTCCTCCTCCTCAAGCTTTCTCCATGACGCTCTCAAAGGTAGGACGTTGTTTGCCATCGGGCAAAGCGCAACAATATTCCGCATCATTCATTCAATTATTCCCTTTCTCTTTTTGTGTGTTTTTTTGTTTTAAACCCATCCTTCACGCCGCTAAAACCCCCCCCCCCCCCCCCCACACACACATATGCCGGCGTGCAGCAAGAGGCGCGGAGGCGATTTTAGCATGCAGCAGCGGTTATGATTTAGAAGGCGTGGACAATGCTGTCTGTGCACGTCCGCTCTCATTTCTATGGGAGCTGCGGGTGAGCCGGCGTCTGAACTGGGCCGTGCGGTGAGCTGCTGCGTCAATCGCCATTGCTGAGATTAAGCTCCGTCCTCCTGGCCAAGGAGGGACATTATACTGCATGTGAAGCAAGCGGCGAGAGGCAAAGCACCACCACCCCCCCTCCTCACTCGGCGCAACGAGGGCTTTCAAACTGGCACTTTGAATGCACAGACCGCGGCTTGCATTTTCTGGGTTTTCATTGAGGCAGGGCAACGACGCGCAATTCAAATTGCGTTCTTTCTCGGGTTTTTTTTTTGGGGGGGGGGTTGCGGGGGGAGGGGGGGATGCGGCGATTTCTCGGCGACTTCACGTGCACGCGCGTATTGCGTCAACAACAACAACAACAACGGCAAAATTTGGTGGGGCGTGTAGGTTTTTCACAATAAGCCCCGTTTGCTATCGAGAGCGTGGCTCTTGTGGATGGCGAGTGGCGGCTACCGTGGAAGGAGTAAACCAAAGTTGCCCCAAAGTCCTTGCCACGCTTCCTACGTGTTGTCCAGGATTAAGGACACAATCCCCCCCCCCCCCCTTCAACCGATTGACAATATCCATGAGAAGAAAAAAAAACACCTGTTGGATCACTTTGCCAACGTTATCTTTCTCAAGGCAACGGCTCCGAAACCTCCTTCATCCCAACATTACAGTTGTTTTTTTGTGCGTGGTCGAATTTTTGTCTACAAATGTTGATGAAATGTAATGTCCGCGGCCAGTGGAAGGCCCATGTGTGGTTGCAACTTGTAGGAGGCTTTGTGTTGCCCACACAGACATGGGGCCTGCAAGAGATGTCCTCTCGAGCAAAGAGAACGCTCTGAGAGAGTTTAGCAAGTAGACTTCTGACCTAACTGGACAGCATCTTTCCTTTACAAGTGTGAGGTTACCACACCAGGAGCCACTTCGTTGCCCGATCATTTGTGGCCAGGTCTCCTCTAAAAAACGAGCTATATCGCTCGTTGGGCCTTAGCTGCAGACATATATTTTAGTTTAGTAAAATAATTCGTCACGCATCTGCCAAGAACTTTGTGAGATATGTATTTTTTTCAATAAACCTTTTGTTAAGTCACTCCTGGATGAAGATCTCCCAAATGCATGACGTTGAAGATTGTTGGACCATACTTCACCGCTCTGGTCAGTATATATTGGTGAAGTGTGAGAGACAAAGACTCGTTCACATATCACTCATCACTGATGTCACTCACAGCCAAGAATAAAATTGGGATAGCCTGGTGCACAGTGCAGTGGACAAAACACTTAGCTACCACTCATATGCTATTAACTCCATTTAGTGTTTTCCAAAACCACACTAAATGGTGATGAGTATACTGTAATCAAGAATCCTAAGTTATAAGCTTGATGGTGAGACATTTAACATCACCAACTGATCTTATTTCTAGAACCCCAGAAAGGCATTGGGATTTTTTTCAGATTACCAAATATTTGGCATTTGTATTTATATAGCACTTTACAGTAAAACATGATAATGTACAGCCCTTTGTCAAGCCACTGCTGAATTAAGGCCATGCCGTGTCTGTCACGGGATTTGTTTTTACCAAACTTCACGATGCTGCTCAGGGCAGGTTGGTGAAGGGAGGGGTTGCCCCAAAACCTCTTCGGACGTCACTCGCCAATGATCTTAACCATGGCCGGGCATCAAACTTTGCTTACCGGGTTCAAAATACAGTACGATAACTACCATGCCACCACTTATCATGTCTTTATTGTGACAATGTGTTTAAACGTCTCTTCAATCCAACGGCTGCGTTTCCTCTTTGCAAATGCTTTCGCTGCAGCACTTCAGTGCTGAGAAGAGACCACATTTGTGCCAGGCCCACCATCACCTATTAGCCTACGCTGCCTCCCGGCCTCTGCCCTTATTAACCCTTCTATTGTAACTCATTACTTTGCTCCTACCTCCGTGATATCTCTCTCGGCTGCTTCGAGTTGACCTTGCCGCCATGCTCTGGGTCGTCTTCTGACCCCCCACAATGCTTCCGCCTCTCACTTTTGACACCGGGCGAGTGTCTCGGTGTGCGCCGTTGCTCTCAATGGCTGTTCGCAAGTTCGCCACGTCCTATCGAGGGGCGCATGGGTGGGATCGTTTGCCTGTGCGCAGATAAACAGGTCCCTGCAGGGTGGGTTGGTAGGAACATTGGAATTTTGCGCAATTTTATTTTTACACCCCAACAGCACGAGATTTCACTTCGTTAAAGTATTGAAAGGGGACGGATGGACGGACGGACACATTAATCTATTGCAGGCTGGTACACTCAGTTTACAACTTCGTTCCTACCAGTATAATTATTTAGCCTCATCACACGGCGCTCATGACAGGTGCCCAAATCAGCATCTCTTTACCTTTTGGTGTTGTCTATGCGGACACATTTTTTTGCAACAACCCTCCTGCATTTAACGTCAGTTGTATTTTATTATAAACGAGCGTATACAGTTAAGGGCACTTTTATACAATGGTGAGCCAATACATTTATGCAAAAAAAATGATTCCAGATTATTTACAGAAGCCCTCTCTATGATGGGACACTTCCCCTGCAGCCGCTTCCTGCCACTATTGTGTGTACGTTTTGTGCACGTGCACGAGTGTTCGTGTGTTTGTGTTTATTTACGTCTCCTTTATACATTTGAGTTTTAGAGCAGCGGCGCAGTGGTTAACGCCCCGAACTAGGAACCCAGTGAGCGAAGTTAAATTCCCTGCCTTGGCTTACATCAGTACCTGAGTAACATCAGAACTGATCCTGGAATCTCCCCTCGGTGGACTCGGCTTTAAATTACTTCCTCGTGCAACGTGTACACTGTCAAATCTAGATTGAAAACTCTTTTCTTTAAAACTGCTTTTTGTGTTCAGATTGTTGTGCTTCCCCCGTAGCCTCAAAATTAGCACTGTTGGCTACGTACGGTGCGAAAAAAGTTCAACATACAGTACACATCAGAACTGGGGAGATAAAGGCAGCCCGGTCATTGTGCTGATTTGTAGCAGAATCAGAATGTTCATTTCTATTGGAGGAATCCGATGAGCTATAAAGCTTTTTTTACAGATGTCCAGGTAGGGGCGGGTAAGAACGTTACAACAACAAACAGTACAAGAACACAATAGTAGTGCAAAGTACCAGAAAGATAAACAAATCACACAAACAAATACAACAACTAGACCATCCCCATCCTACCAGGCAAAGCCCACTGAGGTAGTAATACATTTTTCAGAAGCGACCTGGCCACAAATGATAGGTCAATAAAGTGGCCCATCATTTGGACGTTTATCTCACCAAAATAATAGAAATAATCTCAATGCATGTCCTAAGGGTCTCGGTGAGCTACGTGGGGGTTGAGGGGGGTCTATATTTTGTGTACAGTACACGTGTACCGTGAGGTATGCATGAGTGGGGGAGTGATGTCAAGGGTTCAAATGCTGCACTCTGATCCCATCCACTGGGCCTCAATTCCTGCAAAATCATCAGTATTAAATTGCGATCAGGTAAGGACTTTAAATTCAGTCCTTTGATGTGCCCGCCTATATAGACACTCACTATCATCCAGCCTCCGTTGCTTGTCTCCCTTATTTTGTTGAACAACAATGGTCCAGGAATGTTATGCTGCGCCCATGAGAGAGAATCCTAGGCCCAGCTTTGGTGCCGTTTTTTGTGCATTACAGCGCGGAATTGCACATAGTAGTTTGCCGACGTCTATGCTACTACTGTGGTGCTGGTTATACTGTAATTCTCACGGATATTACTCTGCCCTTCTGTTACTGTGTTCGACTGTTTTGCCTCGTTTTGTGCTTTATACTCTGGACTTTATGAATAATTATCATCATCGACATGAAGGTCTCCCCATGTCGTTGCCATCCCTTGTGGTCCCGTGATGCCAAATTCATCTCACTCCTGCACATAAGCTAATCTTTGCATTGGTCCATCAGCATTCTCACCCATCGGTGATCAACCCTTCTAGCGACGTGTCCTGCCAAAAACAGATTATTAGTCATTTTCAGCCCTTGGTCAATCCACTGCGAGATGAAGAATGTGGAACAAGATCTGTTCAGGTGGCCAGGTTCACAGCGCAGAAAACTATCCATTGTGCCACCTCTCCACCCTGCCCTTTATTGTATTAATTATACTACTTTGTTATTAATAGCAAAATGTTATCGGTTGAATGCACATGCATTTTAATAAAACCAACGAATACGTATTCAAATTACTAAAACAGTTCCTTAAATTAGGTACCATCAATGGCATTATAATGAAATTGAAAGCGAATTTTTTTAAATATATAATTCGTTATTAAAAAAAGGTAAAAACTCATCACTGCTTTTAAATTAACACGGTGCACCTGTCTTAAAATTATGTTAACTGCTACAAATCAGCATCTGAAGACCATCTACAAAAAGACAGGGAAGGCAAAAAGCATTACATTAAATGTGAACAGAAAATCGTTCTTACACAGAATCCTCCACAATCACAACTTCAGAATCTCACAGTATGGGTCTGAAAGAGGCCCACTGTGCCTGAACCTCTCAATGAATCTCATGTCTCTCTCACGTCTCTATTCCCATTGCTTGGAACGCAATCGTCCCTGCCTATGCTGAGTGGATTCCGAAGGGCGAACACGGTCCGCTGTGCCTGCCACACTGCTGTTTCTTGCCACGGTTGCCCAAACTATTCGACCCCCGGAAACACTGCTCCATCCACACACCCGCTGGCATAACCG